CGTTCGAACTTCAAATTCATGGTACTAACAAAATGCAACTGAATAAACTTGTGTAATAATCAAACAAATCAAGATAAAGTCTAATTAGACCAATACTCTTAAGTCTCAAATCTCAACAAGCTAATGTAGGTGTCGAGGTTTGAGAGGGTTTTATAATCGTGTTTACAACTTTATATAAAACAATTTAGAATTTTACATATAATATAACATTAATTAATAATTTTGGTAGCATACTAAAAAATTACTAATATATAAGAAAAACTAGGAAACTCATATATAATAATATTTTCTTATATAAGCAAATATATATTTCGGGACAAATGGAATTTCGAGAATTCCCGTTCTCGTCCCATCTCATCTCATTCACAAACGGAAATTGATAGCTTGTACCATACGGGAATATGGTCCTATACAGAACGGAAATTCGGAACTAGGAATATGACAGAACGGGATGGTTCGAGATGGGACGGGAATTATGCCCACCCCTAAAAAATATGAGGATAGAAGAAAGGGAAACTGTGGTTAAATTTACTAGTATGTTGTGTGATATATCCAATTAATCATCTGTTTTTGGAAGGCTAACGAAGAAATTGAAGAGATCAATGTCTTCGAAATTTGAGTAAAAAATTTATGCAATTGAAAAGACTCATAATTTTGATGAAATGACTTTTGAATTGAACAACGCATATGAAGAAAAAACATTACATAACGTTAGTGATATTGGAACGGCTTAAAAGGGTGCATCTGTTATGGCCTTGTTGTCAATAAAATTTGCTAAGTACCTCAAATAATAGAAAAGTTGCAAATGCATAACGCATGATTTGTAATCTTATGGGAATCGATCCCATAGATATATAAGACGCATAATAGTTAACTTCAAAATAAATACCAAGCTAAGTAATATCAGATTGGTTAATTATCTATCACGCATAATAGTTAGCATCGAAATAAAAACCAAGCTAAGTAAAAATCAGATTGGTTGATTGTTTCGAATAAGTAATGAGGCTAAATAGATTGAGATCAATATATTAAAGCGTTTATTCTGGGTATTTTCAAGGTAAGCTGCATGAAATCGGAAACGGATACGCGGAAGCAAAACGTTATGAAACGAGGAAACAAGTTTTTTTTTTTTTAAAAGGAAACGGAAACGTTTTGAAA